AGGCACTTTAATCCGCGCTATTAAAACATTTTTCTTTTGGAAAAAGCTAAAAAGAAAACAAATACAAGCAATACAACTTCAATTCCAAAAAAAAAAGTTGGGGCGCCGTGTAAAATCCACATAAAAATAGGATGCAATGATCTGCAAATCTCATAAACCCGGATTTTACTCACAATTGGAAAAAGTAAACATATCAATTTACCCCTCGCCCTCCAGAGGATTCCCCCCCCCCTCGCCCTCCAGAGGATTCCCCCCCCCCTCCTCGCCCTCTAGAGGATCCCCCCCCCCCCCTCGCCCTCCAGAGGATTCCCCCCTCGCCCTCCAGAGGATTCCCCCCCCCCCCTCGCCCTCCAGAGGATTCCCCTCTTGCCCTCCAGAGTATTCCCCGCCCCCTCCCTCACCCTCCAGAAGATTCCCCCCCTTGCCCTCCAGAGGATTCCCCCCCCCCCATTCCTGACCCGGCCATTGTTTGCGTTACAGCGCTGCGTTACTTTAACTGACTATTGCACAGTCATGCAACGCCGCACCCAAATGAAATTTACGTCTTTTTTTCCCCCACAAATAGGATTTTCTTTCCGCGGTATTTTATCGCCAATGCATTTTGTTTGCGCTATAAAAAAAAAAAAAAAAGACCGACAATTTTGAGAAAAAAAAAACAATATTTTTGACTTTTTGCTATTAAACATGTCCAGTAAAAAATTTTTAAAAATCAAATTTTGTCATAAATTTCGGCCAATATGTATTCCGCTCCGTGTCTTTGCTAAAAAAAATCCTGATACGTGTAAATTAATTGGTTTACGTGAAATTTATAGCGTTTACAAATGGCGGTATAGATACTGGGATTTTTTTATTTTTACTAGTAATGGCGGCGATCAGCGACTTATAGCGGGACTGCGGCGGGCATTCTGACACTGGGGGGGGAACTGACTTGGTGTCACTGACATCCCCAGTGACACCAATACAGTGATCAGCGCTAATAAAAAGCACCGACACTGTACTAATGGCACTGGGCAGGAAGGGGTTAACATGAGGGGCGATCAAAGGGTTAACTGTGTGCCGGTTTACATAGTGTGCTTCACTGTAATCACACTGCTTTGCATGCAGTGCGCAGGAGCTGACGGGAGAGAACTGTATTGTTTACAAACAGCTCCCCCCCCCACCGTTAGAGATGATCAGCAATCACCGGGCGCCGGCGAGTAATCACCGGCCGTGACCCAGTGATTGGCAGCTGAGGCCGCGAATGGCGGCGTGGGTAGTGCAGCCCCACTGCATAGGAAAATAATATTTTTTCCTGGAATTCTCCTTGATTTGATATGTTTACTTTTTCCAATTATGAATAAAATCCGGGTTTATGAGATTTGCTTGTTTTTGTCCAGAAAGCCGATCCTCCGGTGCCCTGATGATCAGCGTATTTGTCCCCTCTGAGGGATGCCGCTTACCGGCTCCCCGATCCTCATGAACTGTCAGGGAGAGGAATGCCAACAACCGGCATTTCCTTGTTTACATGCAATCAGCTATGATTGGACACAGCTGATCACATGACAGAGCCGACGTCATCTGCTCTTTCCTCTGATCGGTGATCCGCTGTGTCCCAGGGACACAGAGATCGCTGCGCACACCCCCGGGGGCGCGCATGCGCGGTTAGAGCGGGAGGACGTCATATGACGTACTTCTAGAATGAGAGAACCACCGCCCATCCGTCACCTCATTTTACACGGCGTCCTGACTTTTTTGGAACTGGGGTTGTTTTTCCAGTGGATTATTTTATTTTGTTTTGATACTTACTGTCCTGTACACACGCAAAGCTTTCATACAAGACGGGATCATTTTTGGGAAGACCATGTCAAAGCTCCACAAACCCAACCTATCATAGGTGGCCCAACCCTCTCAAAGGGTTCAACATATTATATACACTCACCGGCCACTTGATTAGGTCCACCTTGCTACTGCTAAGAAAATCTCCCACCACACCGTGACACCACCACCAGCCTGAACCATTGATACGAGGCAGGAGGGATCCACCACACCATGACACCACCACCACCAGCCTGAACCATTGATACGAGGCAGGATGGATCCACCACACCATGACACCACCACCACCAGCCTGAACCATTGATACAAGGCAGGAGGGATCCACCACACCATGACACCACCACCACCAGCCTGAACCATTGATACAAAGGCAGGATGGATCCACCACACCATGACACCACCACCACCAGCCTGAACCATTGATACAAGGCAGGATGGATCCACCACACCATGACACCACCACCAGCCTGAACCATTGATACGAGGCAGGATGGATCCACCACACCATGACACCACCACCACCAGCCTGAACCGTTGATACAAGGCAGGAGGATCCACCACACCATGACACACCACCACCAGCCTGAACACCAGGAGGGATCCACCACCATGACACCACCACCAGCCTGAACCATTGATACAAGGCAGGAGGGATCCACCACACCATGACACCACCACCACCAGCCTGAACCATTGATACAAGGCAGGATGGATCCACCACACCATGACACCACCACCACCAGCCTGAACCATTGATACAGGCAGGATGGATCCACCACACCCATGACACCACCACCAGCCTGAACCATTGATACAAGGCAGGATGGATCCACCACACCACCACCACACCATGACACCACCACCACCAGCCTGAACCATTGATACAAGGCAGGATGGATCCACCACACACCACCATGACACCACCACCACCCAGCCTGAACCATGGATACAAGGCAGGACGGATCCACCACACCATGACACCACCACCACCAGCCTGAACCATTGATACGAGGCAGGAGGATCCACCACACCACGAATCCACCACCAGCCTGAACCATTGACACAGGATGGATCCACCACGACACCACCACCACCAGCCTGAACCGTTGATACAAGGCAGGATGGATCCACCACACCATGACACCACCACCACCAGCCTGAACCATTGATACGAAAGGCAGGATGGATCCACCACACCATGACACCACCACCAGCCTGAACCATTGATACAAGGCAGGATGGATCCACCACACCATGACACCACCACCCACCAGCCTGAACCATTGATACAAGGCAGGAGGATCCACCACACCATCCACCACACCTGATGACACAAGGCAGGATGGATCCACCACACCACCACCACCAGCCTGAACCATTGATACAAGGCAGGAGGGATCCACCACACCATGACACCACCACCACAGCGCATTCCCAGCACAAAGTCCGGGGTGGTGTCATTGAGAGCCCCGGGTCCCGTTCTAACAATCGGATCCCGGGACTCCCGATTGCGGGTCACATGATTACTGTGATAGCCTCTGATTGGCTATCACAGTGATCAGTCACTGTGAAGCCCGCACCCCCCCCCCCCTTGTTTTTTTTCTCTCTGAATAGAGGCGAGAGATACGTTGTATCTCTCCTCTCCTTGCAGGGTTATGCTGGCCATAGACGGGTCAAAAATTGGCCGATTTTTCGGCCGAAAAAAACTAATTAGCTGATTTTCGCAACGTTAGTGGGTTAATTGGTTGGCCATTTTTCCGGGGGGAGAGAGGAGGAGGAAGACCAATGATGGGGCCCTATTCCTCCCAATGGCAATAATGATGGGGCCCTATTCCTCCCACCGATACCAATGATGGGACACTATTCTTCTCCCACTGACACCAATGATGGGGCACTATTCCTCCCACTGACACCAATGATGGGGCACTATTCCTCCCACTGACACCAATGATGGGGCACTATTCCTCCCACTGACACCAATGATGGGGCACTATTCCTCCCACTGACACCAATGATGGGGCACTATTCCTCCCACTGACACCAATGATGGGGCACTATTCCTCCCACTGACACCAATGATGGGGCACTATTCCTCCCACTGACACCAATGATGGGGCACTATTCCTCCTCCCACTGACACCAATGATGGGGCACTATTCCTCCCACTGACACCAATGATGGGGCACTATTCCTCCCACACTGACACCAATGATGGGGCACTATTCCTCCCACTGACACCAATGATGGGCACTATTCCTCCCACTGACACCAATGATGGGGCACTATTCCTCCCACTGACTATTCCTCCCACTGACACCAATGATGGACTATTCCTCCCACTGCACTATATTCCTCCACTGACACCAATGGTGGACACTATTCCTCCCATGATACCAATGATGGGGGCACTATTCCTCCCACTGACACCAATGATGGGGCACTATTCCTCCCACTGATACACCAATGATGGGGCACTATTCCTCCCACTGACACCAATGATGGGGCACTATTCCTCCCACTGACACCAATGATGGGGCACTATTCCTCCCACTGACACCAATGATGGGGCACTATTCCTCCCACTGACACCAGGACATTTTTTACTCCCACTGGCCACAGTCTGGCCCCCCTAAAACCCTGAAGGATGGTAAACTGGCCCTTCATTTAGAGAGTTCGGGGCCCCCTTGCAATAAACTATACATGACTCCTGTGCAAAAATAATAAAAAGGTTTTCTGTTAATGATTTTAGCACATGAATGTGGAGACACTCACCAAGTAACTGGAAGAAGGCGGCCATCTCCTGGCGCTGTATGATGAGACACAGTCCTCGGTCCGCTTCACGGCAGTGCTGCTGGGCGTCTCCTCTTTATAGCGCTTCATAAGAAGCTTGTGCTGGGGGGGCCTTGATGCCGATGAGACGTACACTGTGACTGAGGTGGGCGTCTGGCGGCAGGACTGATGGTGTCTCATGTCCGGAACAATCTTCAGACGGAAAAGATTCTGGTGAGAGCCGGATAACACGGAGCTGACGTGTACGGCAAGGAGGTGGTCAGGCGGCATGACAGCTGAACTCCAGGCAAACAGCTCAGAACAAACATGGCGGCTAATTCACCTGACAAACCGTCTGTATCTCTGTCCCTCCAGTGACTGGGCAGCAAAAGAAGCACAGGCACAGTGATTGGCTGTTCTCTCTGATCTCTCCTCCTATCAGCATGCTGTCTGCATTGTTGCCCAACTTATTGGCCCCTTGTGCTGCTTCTTCTGCTGCCGGCCTAAGCCTTGCTGTATAAGACTGCGAATAACTGAAACTTAGTCAAATTCAGGCGCTTAAAGTGTTACTAAGCCCCGACCCCGCATTCACTATATCCGCTCTCCCCTGACCCCGCATTCACTATGTCCGCTCTCCCCGGACCCCCGCATTCACTATATCCGCTCTCCCCGGACCCCGCATTCACTATATCCGCTCTCCCCGGACCCCGCATTCACTATATCCGCTCTCCCCGGACCCCGCATTCACTATATCCGCTCTCCCCGGACCCCGCATTCACTATATCCGCTCTCCCCGGACCCCGCATTCACTATATACCGCTCTCCCCGGACCCCGCATTCCCTATATCCGCTCCGCTCTCCCCGGACCCCGCATTCACTGTATCCGCCCTCCCCGGGACCCCGCATTCACTGTATCCGCCCTCCCCCGGACCCCGCATTCACTATATCCGCTCTCACCCGGACCCCGCATTCCCTATATCCGCTCTCAATCCCTAGTGCCCGGACCCCGCATTCACTGTATCCGCCCTCCCCGGACCCCGCATTCACTGTATCCGCCCTCCCCGGACCCCGCATTCACTGTATCCGCTCTCCCGGACCCCGCATTCACTATATCCGCTCTCCCCCGGACCCCGCATTCACTATATAAGCTCGCTCTCCCCGGACACCCGCATTCACTATATCCGCTCTCCCCGGACCCCGCATTCACTATATCCGCTCTCCCCGGACCCCGCATTCCCTATATCCGCTCTCCCCGGACCCCGCATTCACTGTATCCGCCCTCCCCGGACCCCGCATTCACTGTATCCGCCCTCCCCCGGACCCCGCATTCACTATATCCGCTCTCCCCGGACCCCGCATTCCCTATATCCGCTCTCCCCGGACCCCGCATTCACTGTATCCGCCCTCCCCCGGACCCCGCATTCACTGTATCCGCCCTCCCCGGACCCCGCATTCACTGTATCCGCTCTCCCCTGGACCCCGCATTCACTATATCCGCTCTCCCCGGACCCCGCATTCACTATATAAGCTCTCCCCGGACCCCGCATTCACTATATCCGCTCTCCCCGGACCCCGCATTCACTATATCCGCTCTCCCCGGACCCCGCATTCACTATATCCGCTCTCCCCGGACCCCGCATTCACTATATCCGCTCCCTGGAAGGGGGTGAAAGTGTCCGGACCCCGCATTCACTGTATCCGCTCTCAATCGGACCCCGCATTCACTATATCCGCTCTCCCCGGACCCCGCATTCACTATATCCGCTCTCCCCGGACCCCCGCATTCACTATATCCGCTCTCCCCGGACCCCGCATTTACTATATCCGCTCTCCCTGGACCCCGCATTCACTATATCCGCTCTCCCCGGACCTCGCATTCACTATATCCCGCTCTCCCCGGACCCCGCATTCCCGCTATATCCGCTCTCCCCGGACCCTGCATTCCCTATTATCCGCTCTCCCTGGACCCCGCATTCACTATATCCGCTCTCCCCGGACCCCGCATTCACTATATCCGCTCTCCCCGGACCCCGCATTCACTATATCCGCTCTCCCCGGACCCCGCATTCACTATAACCGCTCTCCCCGGACCCCGCATTCACTATATCCGCTCTCCCCCCCGGACCCCGCATTCACTATATCCGCTGCTCTCCCCGGACCCCGCATTCCCTATTCCCAGATGATCCTCTTCCAGATCTGGCCTTTTCCGGCACTTTCTATTCACATGTAACAATCAGTATTATATATATATGTTGCACTGACTCATACTGACATCCTAGTCCATAAACAGATCCAAACGTCATAGTTCAACCGAAATATGAAATATAAATATACATATAAAGTGCTTGGATGGTGAAGAATCACTAGGATCTGCTCCGGATAAATAAAATCTATTTGAAAACCAGCACGGTGCTCCACCTGAATTCAATGTTCCTCCAACTAAAAATACACATGGATGGCGGCTCCGATTGTGGACCCAGAAATGAATACGGGTCAACCAAGCGTGGTAATTCCAAAACGATGCTGTAGATGGCAGCAGAGAGCTGATGACAGACACCCTTCAATGACAGTATACAGGGGACTCTTCTCCGCTTAAAACGGAGTTCCACCCAAAAGGGGAAGTTCCGCTTTAACCACTTCCCCTCCGGGCCCATGTATATAAACGGCCGGACGGTGGCAGTGCAGGGGCGGGTTGCCGTTCATAAATGGCACCCGCCATTCTGGACTGTGCTTGCTCCCTGTGAGCGCGCAGCACCACAATCCGGTGCCCGCTGTGACCTCCTCCCCTCATATGGGTACAGTGTTGCATGACCGCGCAATTGTCATTCAAAGTGTGATAGCGCTGAAAGCTGAAAATGGGCCTGGACTGGAAGGGGGGAAAGTGTCCGGACTGGAAGGGGGGGGAAAGTGTCCGGACTGGAAGGGGGTGAAAGTGTCCGGACTGGAAGGGGGGGAAGTGTCCGGACTGGAAGGGGGGGAAAGTGTCCGGACAGGAAGGGGGGGAAAGTGTCCGGACTGGAAGGGGGGGTGAAAATGTCCGGACTGGAAGGGGGGGAAAGTGTCCGGACTGGAAGGGGGTGAAAGTGTCCGGACTGGAAGGGGGAAAGTGTCCGGACTGGAAGGGGGGAAAGTGTCCGGACTGGAAGGCGGAGCGGTGAAAGTGTCCGGACTGGAAGGGGGGGGGAAGTGTCCGGACTGGAAGGGGGGGAAAGTGTCCGGACTGGAAGGGGGTGAAAGTGTCCGGACTGGAAGGGGGTGAAAGTGTCCGGACTGGAAGGGGGTGAAAGTGTCCGGACTGGAAGGGGGTGAAAGTGTCCGGACTGGAAGGGGGGGAAGTGTCCGGACTGGAAAAGGGGGGGAAAGTGTCCGGACAGGAAGGGGGGGAAAGTGTCCGGACTGGAAGGGGGGGTGAAAATGTCCGGACTGGAAGGGGGGAAAGTGTCCGGACTGGAAGGGGGTGAAAGTGTCCGGACTGGAAGGGGGTGAAAGTGTCCGGACTGGAAGGGGGGAAAGTGTCCGGACTGGAAGGGGGTGAAAGTGTCCGGACTGGAAGGGGGGAAAGTGTCCGGACTGGAAGGGGGGGAAAGTGTCCGGACTGGAAGGGGGGGAAAGTGTCCGGACTGGAAGGGGGGGAAAGTGTGAGGACTGGAAGTGGTTAAAGATTGGTCCCCATTAAGGACTGCCGTTTTTTGGGGAGGGGGGTACCTGAATTTGACAGGTACCCGCTGTCACTTTCACTGCGACTGCCTAGGCCAGGGGTGGGCAACTGTGGCCCTCCAGCTGTTGTAGAACTACAAGTCCCATGAGCCATTGCAAAACTGACAGTTACAAGCATGACTCCCAAAGGCAGAGGCATGATGGGACTTGTAGTTCACCAACAGCTGGAGGGCCACAGTTGCCCACCCCTGGCCTAGGCGATCGGAAGCGGAAGTTGTCCTCCTACGCAGAGGCGATCAAATACAGCCGAAAGAAAGCTCTATTTGTGGCAAGAAAAAGACGTAAATTTCATCTGGGCGCGGCGTTGCATGACCGCGCAATTGTCAGTTAAAGTAACGCCAAAAAGAGCCGGGTCATGAAGGGGGGGAGGAATCTTCTGGAGGGCGAGGGGTTAAAAGAAAAACAAAAAAACTGTTTGGGGGTTCTAAGAAATTTTCTAGCAGAAAGCCCCGATTGTTACATATGTGCAGAAGAAGTGTCAGGAAAGGCCTCTGGGGGTCTGCAAGTGGATATTAACCTCTAGACACCAATTGGCCGCACATTTGCATGCTATGAAAAAAAACCATATGTGCTGAGAGCCCGCCCCCTGTGCGCTCCCTGCCCGCTCCCTGTGTGCTCCCTGTGCGCTCCCTGCCCGCTCCCAGCACACACGCTCAGTACTCATGGAAAGGTCCCGATCTCCTCTTGTGATTGGGACCAATCCCAACCATGTGACCACCGTGACAACGAATCACAGCGGTCACATCACCCTAAAACCCCGCCCCCCCACTCACGGCTTCTGGAAACCTTAAAGGGCCGGGAGGCGCCGGCACCACGGGGGTTTAAACCAATGTTTGCTTCTCGCCTTCAAGCGGAGTTCCACCACCCAAAAGGGGAAGTTCCGCTGTAAAGATTGATCCCCCGCTCCCCATTAAGGGGCACCTTTGGGGAGCGGGGGGGGGGTTTGGAGCTTCTTTCAGTTTTTGCTGCTGTTTGTGTCCCCGGTAGGGAGAGTCGCCCTCTGTGTCCCCGGTAGGGGGAGGCGCCCACTGTGTCCCCGGTAGGGGGAGTCGCCCTCTGTGTCCCCGGTAGAGAGAGGCGCCCTCTGTGTCCCCGGTAGGGAAAGTCGCCCTCTGTGTCCCCGGTAGGGAGAGTCGCCCTCTGTGTCCCCAGTGGGAGAGAGTCGCCCTCTGTGTCCCCGGTAGGGAAAGTCGCCCTCTGTGTCCCCGGTAGGGAAAGTCGCTCCCTCTGTGTCCCCGGTAGGGAGAGAGTCGCCCTCTATGTGTCCCCAGTAGGAGAGAGTCGCCCTCTGTGTCCCCGAGGGAAAGTCGCCCTCTGTGTCCCCGGTAGGGAGAGTCGCCCTCTGTGTCCCCGGTAGGGAGAGTCGCCCTCTGTGTCCCCGGTAGGGAGAGGCGCCCTCTGTGTCCCCGGTAGGGAGAGTCGCCCTCTGTGTCCCCGGTAGAGAAAGGGGGCCTCTGTGTCCCCGGTAGGGAGAGTCGCCTCTGTGTCCCCGGTAGGGAGAGTCGCCCTCTGTGTCCCCGGTGGGAGAGTCGCCCTCTGTGTCCCCGGTAGGGAGAGTCGCCCTCTGTGTCCCCGGTAGGGAGAGTCGCCCTCTGTGTCCCCGTAGGGAAAGTCGCCCTCTGTGTCCCCGGTAGGGAGAGTCGCCCTCTGTGTCCCCGGTAGGGAGAGTCGCCCTCTGTGTCCCCGGTAGGGAGAGTCGCCCTCTGTGTCCCCGGTAGGGAGAGTCGCCCTCTGTGTCCCCGGTAGGGAGAGTCGCCCTCTGTGTCCCCCGGTAGGGAGAGTCGCCCTCTGTGTCCCCGGTAGGGAGAGTCGCCCTCTGTGTCCCCGGTAGGGAGAGTCGCCCTCTGTGTCCCCGGTAGGGAGAGTCGCCCTCTGTGTCCCCGGTAGGGAGGAGAGTCGCCCTCTGTGTCCCCGGTAGGGAGAGTCGCCCTCTGTGTCCCCGGTAGGGAGAGTCGCCCTCTGTGTCCCCTGGTAGGGAGAGTCGCCCTCTGTGTCCCCGGTAGGGAGAGTCGCCCTCTGTGTCCCCGGTAGGGAGAGTCGCCCTCTGTGTCCCCGGTAGGGAGAGTCGCCCTCTGTGTCCCCGGTAGGGAGAGTCGCCCTCTGTGTCCCCGGTAGGGAAAGTCGCCCTCTGTGTCCCCGGTAGGGAGAGTCGCCCTCTGTGTCCCTGTGTCCCCGTGTCCCCGGTAGGGAGAGTCGCCCCCTCTGTGTCCCCGGTAGGGAGAGTCGCCCTCTGTGTCCCC